CCCACCACACACTTCTCCGTCCTCTATTCTGTTTTCATTTACTCGTTCGTTATCTCGACAGCTTCAATCTTGTAGGCTACTCACTTCGTTTCTTGTAGCCCTCGAAAGGGTTTTGGAGGTTGATCCCTCGGTGAACGGGAGTTGAATGGCTTTCTTGTCCGCAGCAGCAGAAAGCATTTTCGAATGTTTGAATGAATCAAAGTGGGTCGCCACCGTCGATTTTCTCTTATGCTGCAACACACAGTTGCACGGGGTGCAGAATAGTTTCCCCCAACTTTTTGCCCGGTCTTTAGTAGAAATGTTCGTTGGTAAATGAGCTCTATACAGTGTTGTTTACATTCTGTGATGCGCGAGCTGATGACGTCACGTCAAGACGAGTTAACTTTTTTTTCTTCTCAACTTTGTGTGGAAAAATGCGGGGATTATGCGGCCTTTTGATAAATATGCGGCTTTTTAAAAATCTGCGCCATTTTGCTGATTATGCGGTAAATTCTGCGATCGCAGAATCGCGTTTTTCTGGAGGGTCTATATAATAACCTCACCTGTTCTCTCCTTTGATAGTGATGGAAAAAGCCGCTAGAGGGCTTTGTCACTGGAACGTAACCGTTTTAGCCTGTGGTTATATTTCTTTAGGAGGACATCTATGTAGCCTTTTTCCTTTGCACTGACCTTTCAGGAGGCCAAGGAACCATTTCAGGAATGTAGGACTCTAAAGTGCATTTAGACTGGACGAGCAAGATTCTGTATTTAGTACCAAGGCCATTGTCCCTGCTGCAAGGGTGGTACTAAATACTAACTTCTACTACGGCAAGACAACCATGAATCACTCAGAAGGTTCTTTTTGAATCATATTATTAGTTCCATAGTTTACAAACATGATGAGTCTGTGTTGTTTACTCATACATACTAGCCATGTTTTTAATATTCATGATAATTCCCTAATCTTTCTTTCTTCAGATCCAGTCAGAAAGCAGATACAAAATACACTAAAGGAGCTATAAGTTCCTCTTTATATATAGTTCCTGTGGTTCTGTAGTCTATGGAGCAACTTATCTAAAAAAAAAAAAGCAGATCTATTAATAACGTATGGCTTAAATACAACTCCCCGAAACTAAGAGACGGTTTGAAAGAAGATCAACGAGGCCTAAGGCTTTGGGTTTTCACAATAAAAGGAAAGGAAAGATGGAAAAATCCCATCCAACATGTGTATCCTCCTGAAGTAGACTGTGGCATAATATGTTTACAGTAATTGTGCCAAACTCTCACATTTAATTTGGCATGAATATATTGAAATACTCTGAAATGCTACAAGTGGCAGCTTTAATTAGACGTAACGGAGGCCATTTAGGCCAGGGCGGTGTGCTGGAGAGCGTCCTCCAGATGAAATGCTTCAGTGAAGGAGGAAGGAGCAGAAACGGCAGCGTGCGGTGAAACCAGTGGAGATGGCAGACACACACTCAGCGCAGTCCTCATCCAACGTCAACACCATTCACTGAGCCTGAGACACATCTGTGCTCACTGACAGGACAGCTACGCACAGGACGGCGCTCCACATAATCCATACACACACAATCATGGCGGAAAGGAGTGCTAACTGCTATTTAAACAGCACGCCATTTAAATAGCAGTCCCAGCACAATATGGCATTCAGCAGCAGCCAGGGTAGACGCCACTTTGGTTTTCTTACTTGGAAACGTGTCTCTATACACAAGAGTAAATTGTAAATAAATATTGTTGTGTTCCCGTTTCCTTAACCGCGTCACTGCAATTAGGCTTTCACATCATCATTTATGAAACGATGACAACTTCCTCCCTTAATGAGGTCTGTTCAAATGCACACACATGGCTTAGAATAGCATTGGCACACACTGGCAAAACAGGAACACACACACCGTGACTTTATATTGGCACGTATATTGAAAACCTGTATGTGTTTATGTGTGCGAGAAGAGAGGAACTGTCCCAGGGTTTGCTGACAAAAGTGGTTTTGACCAAACCACAAGAAAACAAGCTGAACCTTTTCTGCTAGACATGAGTCATATCTGTTTGTGATCACTGAAGAGAGGTGGATGAGAGTGTCCTCTTTGCTCCCCTCCTCTACTCCCCCCTCCTCTCCCTCTCCCTCTCCTCTCCTCTCCTCTCCTCTCCCCTCCTCTCCCCTCCTTTTTCTTTTCCAGCCGGGCCTCGTCACCTTTCACCCTCCCTGCATCCCTCAATCCTTCAAACTCTACATCTCTGTTAGCCTTCCAGCTCTATTTCTTAATTCTCTGTCCTTATTTCACACTCATCTGCACTTCCCTTCTCTCTGTCTCGTCTGCATTGCATTTGTAACGCTGCCTGTGCTTCTGACTGTTCAGCATTTGATCTGGTTATCTCTCGTGCTTAGCATTTGTTTCTTTCGCTTTACAGTATATCTTTTCACTTGAGCTCTTTTACAATGTTTCTCTTTCTTCTCGTTTCTTCTCTGCTTTTCCTCTCTGCATGTTTGTTGTTTCTGTCTTATCTCCCGCTCCTTTTCCACCTCCTTACCACTTCTATGTATGCCCTATAACACCTCTCTCCTACTCTCATCATCCCCTTTTCCTTCCTATGTCCACTCTGCTATTTCCCCTTTTCTGTACCCATTCTCCTTCTCCCTCTATTAAATGTATTTCTGTGTCCCCCCCCCATTTAACCATCCCATTTCCTTTCTCTGTTTCCTCTCTCCTACCCCATATTTCTCTGTCTTTGCTCTTTTTGTATGCAGCTCTCTCACATTCCAATGCATGAGTTCACCACAGCCGGCTTTAGGTGGTCAAAGGTAACAAATAATCATTACAAACCTTACTCAGTCACCACTATTTGACTATACATTTCATCCTTCATTCATGTCTTCACCATTCAGTTTTCTTTTTATTCCAATATATCACACTTTTATTGAAGTAACAGCAGCATGGGAACTTGTAAGTGTTGTACAGCTTGTGGTATGCATTCATTCATTCATGCTGATGTTAAAGCAGACCTCCTGTACCCAGTAAACTGAGTATTTTACCTGTCAAGTCTTATTTTATCTCTGAACAGGAACTGCTTTCAGATTTAGCTCATCTTCCTTTTTTTTTGCTGATGCCATGTGTTTTCTGAGGAAATATATGTACCTTTCTGATTATCTTTCTCTCTTGTTCTTTCTCTAAAAAAAACGTTTTTCTGTCCCACACTCCTTGCTTCTCTTTTTTTTTTGAGTAAAAGAGAAATAGGGAGTACACAACTAGAAAAAAGAGAGAAGGAAATACCCAAGGGAGAATGTATGACGTGTGCGAATTACAGTGACAACAAACATTAAACTTACAAACTGAAACACACCTCGACAAAGACAGAGATGAATTATAAATTATAGAAGAGAAAATAAAAGAAAACATGGTGAAAAAAATCATTTGATGTTCTAAAATAGAGCTTTCCATGTAAAAACAGAACAATTATTAAATAATTTCAAAAGAACAGAAGCTGTCAAATACCCACACACACAGAAACACACACATATAGGAAGCTGAAGGAAAACATCAATATATTAACACGTTAAAATATCTTACATTACGTGTGTGTGTGTGTGTGTGTGTGTGTGTGTGTGTGTGTGTGTGTGTGTGTGTGTGTGTGTGTGTGTGTGTGTGTGTGTGTGTGTGTGTGTGTGTGTGTGTGTGTGTGTGTGTGTGTGTCAGGTGGATGACCTGCTGGTTGCCATGGAGAAGGTGAAGCAGGAACTGGACGTGATGAAGGCCAAGCTGTCATCAACTCAACTCTCACTGGCTGAGAAGGAAGGTCACCTGACGTCGCTGCGGGCCGAGCGGCGGAAGCACCTGGAGGAGGTCCTGGAGATGAAGTAAGACACACACTTTATTTATGTTAACATGTAAAACAGCTGAACGTAAACATCGAGCGCCGGACATTTATGTAATTTATCATGTTTCCAAAGACACAAACACACCACTGGGGAAACATGTATTTCTATCTGTCTGCCTACATATTCCCCAGTCCCTAAAGCTGTCTATCTCCCCATTTTCCATCATTTTATTCAGATTTGAAAACATTTAAAGGCAGTTAGAAGAAAGAGGCTGTGTTTAAGGCTTTATTAGCAGTTGTGTAAGGCTGTACCACCACATTGTTTTTTCAAAAGAATTGCCAACAGGATCCGAATATCATCAGTTATTCAGGTACTTAATCCTACCTAAGTGGACACATTATCATTTTGATGATGGTGCTAGAGAAAAAGCCAGAGAAATGTATTTCAGTTCATCCTTAGGGAAACATATATGTGTTCTAAATTGAGACATTTCACTGAAAACCTCATAGTGGTGGGAGAGAAAAGGTTAAAGGATCATCAAAGTCAGTATGATTTATTATTCTGGGCATTTTCAATGTTTGTTCAAAGTTTCATGGCAATCCCTTCTATAGTTGGTATTTTGGTTTGGACTGACAGACTGACATTGCCACAGAGCCCCATTGCTATCACGGCACTTCAAAGCATTCTACATGATAGGCTAAAGGGCGGTGTTGGGGAATAACTTGCCCTGCATGTCCTCCTTCGCCCTGTGACACAGCTGACCAACCTTGAGCAGCCGTTATCTCCATAAGGATCCAG